AAATGTTTTCCTGTAACATATAATTACACAGTAAAACTTTAATATTTTCTGTCAACTTAACAATAGATCGCCTGTGGACCGCCTCGATGCCCCCACCGCCGGGCTTAGCAAGTTTTCTGGGGGAAACCCTGCAAAACCCTTCTATGGAGTGAAAATAGTCTCAAAATATCTGTGCGTGTGTAAAAATATTTCTCTGTGTGTAAAAAGATTTGTGCATATGTAAAAAGATTTGTGCGTTTGTAAAAAGATTAATGTGTGTGTAAAAATATCTGTCCTTGTATAATACTGGATTTGTAAACCTTAAAAATAAAATAAACCTTCTCCTACGCCTATAAATGTTGAAAAGGTATGCACAAGTCACCTGGTACACATACACAAAACTGCATTTATACACAGATCCGGTTACGAGTGCACGAGTATTTTTGAGGCTCATTTGATGCTTCGGGGGAGAACCCAGACTTGTGTGTAGATGGTGCGTTTACATACTAGTAAAAGCTGGGCCATCTGAGTTTTGCTCTGAGTATAGTGTTTTTATCCTCTAAACATTTCTCACTGTGCTTGTGCCGAAGTGGCAAATACATTAGTTTGGTGGAAAATGGTAGATCTCAGCACTTCCTTATATGTCCTAAAATTATTTATAGACATATTGTGCATTTTTGAGCGGTACAGGAGACTAAGTGGTCTGAAAAAGGACCATTGGGTGGCGGAATGGTTCACTTGCCGGAAAAATAGCCAGGCAAACCCAGAAGCGAGACGAAGCGTCCCGGTGGTCTGTCCTCTGAAGTAAGTAGAAGCTAAACCTGCAGGCTTTGCTATCCGATTATAATGAGACATGGAGTAATTATAAATGATTTCAGATTACGTTTTAAATGTCTGGTATTTTGAAACTCTGGCCTCCTCAGTTTCTGTTAGCGGGAGCTAATGTTTATGTCAGCTATGCTACTTTAGCTCTTCGCAGCTAAGGGTGGATTTTTAGTGTCACCGAAGTCAGCAAGCATCTTCAGGAAATTATGGCAGTTATGGATGTTGGTCACTATCACTGAAATCATATTTTGTTGCTTCAACAGTATTGAAGATAGACCTGCTCCTGCAGGAACATCGTCTGCTGCTAGACTTTATTCACCAGAACAAACTGACAGGTACTTTGTTTATGTTGACTTCTCGACATATTTAAGGATTTAGTCTAATGTTCACACATAGGTCTGTCATGATAATCACTAAATTAATTAATTGGATGATAAATTAAAACAAACTCAATAATTTCCATCAGCACGATTTATCGTTTCTCTTTTTTTCTCTCTTTCTACAAAAAACTGGATGATAAAAGTCTTCAGTTTGGTACTTTGGTCTCAACTAGCCCTTATTTTGAAAAGCAACTTTGTTTACAAAGATTTCAAAATTCATTAGTTGTTTTATTTATTCTGGATATTAAAAATGTCTTCCAGTTCCAGTGTTAAATGTTCATTAGAATTTAAAGTTTAATGACCTTTGAGAATGGAATGATATTAACTTAAGTCTGAAGCTCCAGCACTTAAATCTATCAGGTTACACTGAGAAGTTTTGTGCTGCCATATTTTTGTTATGGATGGAAGCAGATTGAAGCTGCAGATCTTTCCATCCATCCTCCAAGTAAATAACTGAAAGGACAACAGAAGATATATTTAATTGATTCTAACATCTACTGTGCTTGAACTGAAGCAAGATTTAATTCAAGAGGTTGAATTATTTTGTGACTAAAAGTATATAAACATAACCTGATTTTATTTTACAGTTGAAAAATATCTGAAATGCTTGTATTCTAATGTCCAAGACAGTTCCAATATTTAGCAGTTACTCTATATGGTTTTCACATCATTACTAGATTCAGAAATAAAACTACGAGCTGGTCCAAGTTAAATGATAGCTACTGCTGATGCTTTGATGATATCAAAAGTGAATTTCCCTCAGTCTGTATTTGGTGTTTGGCAAACTTAGTGATAATAATGATAAACAACTGGTAAACTGCAGGTGTATTACTTTACTACAGCATATCCATGGAACTAAAAGTGGGCAAAATGAGCATTATGTTTTAGAGATAGACCCATATATTACCTGCTCAAGAAAAAACATAACAAAATCTTAGATATCAGAGTAGCTATACGTAGACTGAGAAAGACAAAAATTGTGTTAACATTTCTGCTTGAGAAACAGAACAGCATCTGTAAGGACCTGAGGTTAAGAGTTTTGCCTAAAGATTGGACCAATTTTATCCATTTAGTTGCATTTGAGAACGTCTGTTCTCAAATGCAGAGAGCCTTGTTGTTCCTCACAGATCCCCATTTTACAACAACCTGCTCAGCTTTGCTCTGCTTCTTCCACAGGATGAAAAGGGAGGAGGGTTACTCAGCCTACTACCGTATTTGGTTAATATCAGACCTTAGTCACTTTATCCTGTTTTTCTGTTTTCTGAAATGAAAACTTGTCCAAGGATGCTGGGCCAAACCCATGGCATATGATTTCAGCCAAAATAACAAAACATAAAATCTATATTTTCAATATATTTTTTCAACCAAGTACTTAAGTAAAACAAGCAGAGACAAGTCAGTGTCTGGACCAGAGCAAAGAGTGCCTTATGAAACTAGTTAAGTCAAAGCTTTTTTAACACTTCTGTTATCAGTGAGCTCTGGCTCTTAAAATGTCACAAATACTATTTTTGATTTATCTAATAAACATTGTTAAATTGTTATTATGAAAACAAGAAAGCACATTTGTTAGGATTGTTTGAATGTTATCATTGAATGAGTCGCCCTTATCCTAAATCTTCTGGAGGACAGTGCTACTTTCCAAAAGATGTCCAAATCTAACACCTAGAGTTCACAGTTAACTCAGGTACTGTTCAGACTGAAATCACACAGCTTCAGGTAAATATGGTGCATTTTCATTCAGACCAATGTGGTGCCTGTTGATATGTTGTTAATTAAGCTACAAGAAAAACATACAAGGTGTCCTCATCTCGGCTTACTGAAATTAATTTAAACAGTAATAATCATAGAGTATGTAAACTCCAGAATTAAAGGAATTATATCATAATTATCAGGATAAATATAGTTGTTCTGTTATGTGGTTAATTTTGAGACCTAAAACAGGAATAGTTTAGTTTGCTTTTGTGACACACAGTGAGACACAAAATGTATGTTCACAGTAATAATCTGAGTAATTGCTACACCTTTAATTAGAGTCAGAAGAAGCGAAAACTTAACTAAAAACCAGAAATAATTCCTATCTCAACCCACCCTATTACAGTTTAGGTAAAGGTTACGGTACATTTCAGCTATTTGCTAGGAGCAAAGAACTATTGTGTTGTTTTAGGTCAGGTTTATACTTTGAGGATCAGCGGGAAACTGGAGTGACAGTAACAATTGTGTGCTTCAAGCGGCGACAATGGAGTAAATGCAGCTTTAAAAAGACAGGCTACCCGGTCGGCCTGGTGCCTGAATGCGCCATCTATTTACTACTCTGTCGTGACATTTGACATGTTTACCTCGGGAAACTGCAATGTCCGAAAATTTCTGCCGCCCCCTGTAACAAAAATCAGCCAGTTTCACCCCCACGCTCCAGGGAGACATCATGAATCTCACCTGAGCTACAGCACAGGGTTCAGTCGCTGCCCGAGCCACAACACGAACGGCACCTTCTATCCTCTTATTTCATTACAGTAAAATATAAACGATGAAACACAACACTCACTTTGCTCTTGACCTCCACCGTGTTATCAATGTGTCTTATGGGGGTCCGGTGCTGCTGCTGTGACTGTCTTGACATTCTGCTCCTCGGTTCTACGCTCGGCTGAGGCACTGCAGATAAAAACATCCACTAGGGCTGGGATATGCGTTTCCTCCTGTGTGACTGCGAATAGAAGAAAGCAGAATGCTAAGTATAGAATTGACTCCGTGAAAAAAGCAGTCCTTTCACCTGAGGCAGTGTTCCGTGTCCCTGTTAGTCTAGGTTAAAATCAGAAGCACAAATCAGTCGCGATTAGCTGCTGCGTCGCATTTCGTCCTGAGTCAGCACGCGCCAGTGTTATTCCCCCACAACATACATACACACTCGTTCATGCGCACGTGCATGCGCATGCAAAAAAGAAAGAGAGCAGCCATCCTGACAGGTGGAGTCTAGCAGATCCGGTATGGGACGTGAGGTGCCAGTTGCCCCACACCCTTAACCCCCACCCAGGGCCAGACAGAAGGACGCAGCAAAAGGGGGCGGGACATGACATCAGGGTAATAACGCAACACCAGCCAGCCCTACTGTCCCACTGATATCCACTCCTGTCAGCTGCAGTACTGACTGCATTTCTGCACACGTCATAACTAATCTTAGCCTAAATTTCTTGGCTTCCAGATTACTAAAAGACGCCACCCCACCACCACCCCCAAGCCCCTCTACCCCACTATCATAGTGAATACAAGGTGAAGTTACAAATATGTCAGATCGATAGTTCAGCTGCACAGTTGTCATTCTCTTTGTTATCCAGTGACGTTTGCTCATTCACCTCAGGTATGACAAGAATTAAAACCAGCTGGAGCCTGTTGCTGAACATACCTGAAAAACCTGAGTTTCCACCCTGTTTCACAAGGGCCATGTCTGAGAGCAAAAGTGTTTGGGCCGATACTAGCAACAAGACAAAATAATACAGATTTAGAAGAAAAGTTCAACCTTTAAAAAAAAAAAACTGAACTCATTTTATTGAGCCATAAGGAGGAAGAAGGGGAAAGAGAATTTGTTACAATATGTTACAATAATCTGTTGGTTTTTCAGCGCATGGTTGGAAAAACAGAAAACATGCAGTGACAATATCCAGGGAGGGACAGTTCTGTGGATAAGAATCCCTTGTTGATGTCAGAGATCAGAGAAGAATGGGCAGACTGGCTTGAGATGATAGAAGGCAACAGTTGCTGAAACAACAGAAGGATGCAGAATAACACCTCTGAGCACATTGGGAAGTCAGTTTGCATTGGAAATTTGTTGGTTTGATTCCAACTTCCTGCCACAACGTAACCCAAGTTGTTTAACAATGTCGCTGTATGATTAGGTTCTATGACCCTAGCTCTAGTGTAAAGTTGCTTTGTGTGGTCAGTATAACTGAGTTTACTCCATTTGCCTTAAATCAGATGGGTCACAGCAGAAAAACTGTCAGCTATGAACAAGAATAAGGACCTGTCTGTCCAAGAGGCTCTCCAAAATTGGACTATAGCAGTCCTCTCTGACATAATGAGTTGCTTTCACCTGCAACATTCAGATGATAAGGTCAGAATTTGGCATGAAGAGCATAAAAGCATGGCTGGTGTGATAATTGTGGAGATATTTTCTGCTGCTGACCATGTCCTTGTCTTTATGATTTTAGTGTACCTATCTTCTAATGGCGACTTCAAAAAGAATAATAAACATCACAAATATATAATAATGTAACAGTGGCTTCTTGAGCAGGACAGTAAAAACTTGGCAGCTAATATCTGCCAATTTTGAACAGTCAAAACTGGATTGAACAGGTGTGACTGTTCAATCCAACAGAACAATCAAATCCTCTAATTCCTGACTCCAAACATACAACTATATGTTGAGTTTGCAAGTATTAATAGTATGGCAGTTTATAAAAAGACAAACAATGTCAACAACCAATACATTTCATATTATCTACAATCACACTTGTTTTTTGGGGTTGTTTTTTTTTTACCCTGGACGAATTTTGGGAACATGGTGGCACAGTAAAGTAGCATTATGTATGTGCAGCTGAAAAATCTGCACCAACTTTGTGACACAGTTATGTCAACATGGACCAAAATCTCTAAGGAATGTTTCCAACACCTTGTTGGTTCTATGCATTTAAGAATTAAGGTGGTTCTGAAGCCAAAAGGGGATCCAACCAGGTGTTAGCATAGAAAACTGAGTAACAGAGCAGTTTAATGGAATTTTACACAAACAAGATCCCCCACAAAACTTAAGAATCATGGTCCACTGTTAAACAGATGGAATATTTATTTTTATAGTTAGTTTTCATGTATTTGCAATCTGATTTTGTTGTATATTTCTATAGCTTTCAACAAAACAAAGCTGAGTTACATTTTAGTTTTTGTTACTTAAGAATATTAACTTAATTGTCATGAAGACAGGAGTAACAACTGGTTCACAGTGACGTTTTCAAATGGTTGCATACCACATCATGAAGTGTGTGTGTGTAAGCTGTTTCCCCCCCTCTTTTTCTCTTTTTACTCAGTTTGCTTTCTCCTCCAGGCTCTTAGTCCTAATCATCTCAGTACCAGTCAGCACCAGGGCCCGGGTTCGTGTGTACCTTGAAAGGAGCTCAACAGGCTTAAGACACAGGTTTTACTTCATTCAAAGCAGAAAAACTGAACAGTGTATCATAAATTACAACTGCTTAGTTAATAAATGCTTTACCAAAAAACGTATGTTACAGAGTTCTGCAAGTCAATTACTCAATGCAATCTGATGGGTTTACTTAGATAGACACTTTTAAAGCTACTTTGAATAACTAATTGTACTGTACTGTTTGATAACTGGGATCAACAAGAACTTATTTTTTGTAAATGCCTCAAGATGGCATTTGTTGTGAAATGGTTCAATGTCAATAAACTGAATTGAACTGAATAATAAATGTTTAAAAGACATTTTGTTAACTATTTCATTTTGCTGCTGAAGATTTTCTAAAACATTTCTCAGAAGAATTTAATAGGATTATGCTTCAGTATATGTATATTTTCAGTTTTCGCCATAAACTATCCTGGGCGATCAATCATTTGCAGTCCATCTACTTTGTTGTAGCCCACTTTAACACTTTTATCCTCAAGTCAGCTGGTAATGGCCTGCACAATAAATTCACTTCCATCTGTGTAAACCATCCCGTTTTGTTTTCTGATCTTATCTTCAGTTCTTATGATAATTGAATAAAAAAACTGAAATTCAGAACTTTGTCTGAAGTGTGCTTTATTTAATAAATGATAAAGTTTAGATCCTGTACAACATATTCTGCTATTTAGTCCATTTAATAAATGGTCAGCCCACTCATCTTCCCAAGTGTTTTTCTTTTTGGTTCTTTTTTTTTTTTTTACAATAAGTAGAAATTGAAATCTGTTAGTGGTGCTCCTTTTTTAAAACCTAATAGGCTATTACAGCTGTCCAGTCTAGATTTTAATTTCTGACTTGTTTAGAGAGTATCTTCCTTGCATTGTTAAAAAAAAAAAAAAAATCACACAGTAAGCTAAGAGTGAGCAAGGGGTGACTGGGACTTCCTAGGAATAGTAGTCGTCTTGCAGTCCAAAAAGTTGTGGGTTTGATTCCAGCTGCTCAGAAATGTCATTGTGGCCCTGTGTTTGTGAGTGTGAAATAAAAAATATGGCTCTCGTGTAAAGCACTTTGAATCACAAGTTTAGCTAGAAAAGTGTTATGTAAATCCAGTCCATTACTTATCTACTCACTCCTCTGCCAGTTCTCACTGACGTCCAGTGTTTTATGTAGAGAGCAAATATTCCTCGAGAGCAAGAAGCTATTCTGAATAGCAAATACATTTTTAAATATGCTAGTCGATTGAAGAGTGCTTAACTTACTTGACCATTCAACATTTGCAATTGCTGGATTCTATTTGAAAGTTGAAAACAACTGTGTAGGAACTAAGGAATCCAACAAAAGCAGGAATTTAAAAACCAACCATAGTTCCTCTAAAACAAAATACATATAGGGAACCAAGTCTCTCAAAAATAAGAACTTGAAAATGGTTCTTGTGATCTAAATGCTGTTTTCAAAATGGTCACATAGCAGAAACAGGGCAGAGGAGTATCATCTGAATGATGGAGGTGTGGGTGGGGCTAGTGTAATATTTGTATCTCCACTAACTGAAAGAGGAAATGGTATCATGGCCAAAACCAGCTTAGTACAAACCTTATGATTTTGATTTTGTGCCAATAATTCTGCCTTGTTGTCATTTACCCTTTAATTTCCTTTAAATTTCATGACATAAATTGCTGAAGAACGTTCATCAAAAAGTGTTCAAATGACTGAAAGATTAAAAAGGAATGTAGTTTTTAAGCCACATGTCCTTTTCTGTGAGGTGTGTGACATCAGGTTAATCCGATGTGGATCTACTATGTGTGGTATGTCCCAGCTACTGGGCAGGTCATACCCATCTGAGTGGGTGTGGAGCTGTGGAAGGACTGGTTTTTATCTCTGACACAACTTTACCTGAATCCGGTCGGCTTTCTGTTGCACTTTACCTATTTGTATTTAGAAGCACAAGAGGGAACAAAAGCCTGTGAAAACCAACTTAAAGAGATTATTTGAATTTTTAATGAAGGGAATTTATTTACAGATAGTTAATAGTTACAATCCTGCCTCTATTATATAAACACATTAAACCACACAGCTTAGCTAAGAGGTTTAATCTGTCCAGTCAAAAACAGACTTTTTAAATTCTAGGAAGAAATTATCCCAGCAGAATGAATCCTTATACAGTCTGCATAAAAAAACCCAGATACATTAAAGCTACTCCTGTTGAAGCTGAAGATTAGGAAATATTAGGAAGAATGACAGGACTGCCTCCACAATTCTCTGAACACAGAGTATACCATGCTAAATGCTTCAGAATGAGTTTTTACACTTACATCCATACTCACATCGCATGTCTCAGTTTTTTTTTTTAAACAGTGTCTGTCAAACTGCTGCATTTTCACAGACAGACCTCAATCTGTAAGGGTTGGTGAAAATACTTCAAGGGTCATCTTCCTCAGCACTGACTCCCTCCAGGGCTGTGTATTGAGCCCACTGCTCTTCACTCTGATGACCCTTTAGTGTCAAGCCAGGTTCAGTACGAATCACGTCATTAAGTATGTGGACGATACGACAGTGGTGGGTCTCATCAGGGACAACAATGTTCTAGCCTACAGAGAGGAGGTGAAACATCTGGTGGACTGGTGTGATGCAAACCATCTAATCCTGAATGCCAACAAAAGAAATTGTTGACTTCAGGAAAAATCAGCCAAATCACACACCCCTCCTCATCAATGATGCTGCAGTGGAACAGGTCAGGAACATTAAATTGCTGGGGATACAGATCACTGACACTTTGACCTGGTCCCTCCAAACCTCTGATCTGGTAAAGAAAGCTCAGCAACATCTTACACTCTTTATTTTGGATAAGAGCAAACCTCCCTCCTTCCATCCTCACCACTTTCTACAAAGGGACAATAGAGAACAAACTGACCTGCA